TTCGCCTATCTTGACTTCTTGAATGCTTAAATGGGTATCATCGCTGAACTTCTCTGTTGCTTGTGCTGTAGGGCATAGGTAAAACTTGGCAACTAATTGATAGCTAAATTTCAAAACTTAGAAAACCACGCTGACCTTACTACTTCAGATATAATAATTAAAGTGGAAATGACCATGGAACATTCGCAAGAAAGTCTTTATTTTGTGAGTATTTGAATGGGTATATTTGGTACAGTAAGGCTTCCTTTCAGGACTTATAGTCTGATTTCGACCTAATTACGCTTACTTCGCATAACTGCATGCTTATTTCTTAGTAGTTAGTACAGAATTTATCACCAAAAGGCTACGACACAGTCCATCCATTTTGCCTTCCGCACACCGATTTTTTTAGCATCCTCCAGTTGATTTTAGTTTTATAAGTCTTAGCTTGGTTAAGTTTATTTTAAGTTTAGTTAGTTTGCCATAGCTAAGTTTAGTTGGTTTACTTTGTTTTATTTTAATATTTTTGTCGTCATGTGGTTGCTTTTTATCCTATCGTACTACAATATCGGTCCAAATTCATTAGAAGCTATAATGAGTTTTAAAACAGGGCAAAACTTTGTCTTTCATAGCTTCACTTTAATCTCTAGATTTTGACATGCGTTCTATATGCCATTGCATCCCATTTGCGGGTACAATCAGTCAGCTGTTTTTTCCTACTGGTTTTAGTCTCCATTTTATTTATCATGCGCCAAAAATGGGTTATTAAATAATTATTCTTACTATTCTCTACTTTTATACGCCCTACTTGTTCAATTATTTTTTATTTCCTCTGATTTGTCCACTCAGTTAATCCTTATAATCACCGATCCCGTACTACCGAATGCAGGGTTTTTTGCTTGCTGCAGTGAGCCCGAGTGGAGACTGTTATCAAACAAAGTCTTGATTTTTTTAATACTTGACTGCTGCAATAAGGCTTCTTTTCAGGAATTCAAATACTTTAAGTCCCTACCATCAGTCTAACAGCATTTCATGTTTCATTTTAAGAGAAAGTGGAAAGGCTATAAATATGTGCTAAGAAGCCTCGTCGTTGTTCTCTGAGAAACTAAAGATTAGAACCAGTCTTCCCTCTTACTTCTAGGTAATTCTGTTTGCAGACCTCTGAATGAAAGGATGCGTGCATAGTTCCAAAGGTGACCAAACTATGAAACTTATGTAATTTTTGGATAAATGTTTCAGGTTTTTTTTCTTAAATTCCATATCCATTCGTGATTTAGCAGGTTTGAGTAATGAATGTCATCCAGTTGTACAAAAACTGGCGGACTCCACAGGATTCATACCCTGCACAACCAGGACATGGCTATTGTTCAGCCAACGCAATTTTTTTCACAATTTGATCAAACGAAATGATGTGATTTAAAGAATCAGGCTTCCCAAAAAAATATTGCCGAAAGTTAACGACTTGCAGCAGCAGACTGGCAGAGTTCTTGAGCACTCTGGCAACTGTCCCAATATCCTCACGATGCTCGCCAGGCGTGACCTAGTAGCTGCTCTAGTCCCTTCTTTTTCTCCTACGTCTCAACGGCTGTGACAAGCTTGCTAAATAACAGGCGCTCCAACAAAGCACAGCTGGCCAGACTTGACCTCAATCAGACACCCCACACGCGCTCCGGCCTTCTGACACGAACAATTGCAAACGCTTACACAATACACCTCTGCTGACAAGCTCCCAGACGGACGCTTTTATCTCTTGCAAGCAAACAATCTATTCACGGCGACTGGCCTTGTGCAGTAGTCGCCGGTTATTAAGCCCACGGTTAATAGGCCCAGCTGCTTATTAAGCCCAATTTGGTTTGGGCCTGAGGTGGGCTTAATAACCGGTGACTACTGTATACGAATAAATTGTTCCTAACATTTGACTGCCTTCTCTTATCAGACGGACTACTTTTATTGTAGTGGTTATAGAAGATCGCACATTCTAGAGCGCAACACATTGATGACCTCCGATTTTTTGAACACACGAAATTGTTGAACATTCCGTCAGCCCTTCTTTCATCTCTATCACGATGCCGGATAACGAACATTCAGACGACTCTCCCTCCACTTCATATGTGTCTGTCAAATTGCCAGCATTTCTGGGCCCGAAATGTGGAGCTGTGGCTTGCACGTTGTGAGGCCGAATTTGAAGCGTGCAAGATCACTCGCCGGGAAACCACTTGCAGCACAGTCTTCCTGACGAGTATGCGGAGGAGCTATGTGACCCACTCATTTATCGTCCGCAAGAGTAGTCTTACGATAATTTGGAAGAAGCTCTTGTAAAGCGGCTGGCTATGACAGCGGAGCGCCGTCTGAGACGGATGCAGCAACTTGTTGATGAACGAAAGTTCGACCCCTCCATTATTCGTCAGCTTTTCCTTCAACGCCTCCCACTTGACGTTCAGACGGTACTCGCCTTGTGTACGAATAAATTGGTCCTAACATTTGACTGCCTTCTTCTATCAGACAGAATACTCATAGTATAGTGGTTATAGTAGATCGCACATCCTAGACCGCATCAATACTACAATGACACAAAGTATTATACAAGAGCACGAGGTTTGTAGGCGCTATGGCACAGTAACATATCAGCGCAAAGCCCA